AGAGGAGGTTGGATGATCCCCTGTCGGGGGTCTTGTGACCCCAGCATTCATTCCTGCCTGTGGCAGGGGGTCAGGCTAGTTGATCTGTTTAGGTCCCTTCTGACCCTAGCTACTATGAAACTGTAAGTGTTAAAGCAGCACAGAAAATATGAGTAGACAAGCCACTAAAAAAGCATGTGTTTTTGCTACTGCGCATTAGGGCAGCTTAATGCACATTTATTTAGTACCTCGTATTGCAGATACTGAATTTAATGCACATTAGGAAAAATGCATTAATGCACACGTAGAAAAAGCTACATCTGTACCAGAGCCATTGTATTACCCCAGTCTAAGGAAAGCTAGTACTAATGGAGATAGAAACCAGCACAAATTTAAATTTATGTTTAAGGTTCATGGTCTAAATTCGTTTAAGGTTATAAAAAAAAATACTGGACAATGGAACTGGTTATTTTCTTACCTACTAGTCAGTACACTCCTTGATCCTATTACCATCCCAGAAGGCGGCTCATGTTTCCTCCTGCAAGCAGATGGATAGGGAGAATAGAAAGATAACTTACCTTAATTTCTTTTGTGCTGGGAACACGAGACTCCTATAGCATCTATTAAGTATAACCAGAACTCTAGGCCCCCTTTTTTACCCACCCCAAAGTATTTGATACATTTTACTACAGAAGTTTCTCTTAAATTTTTTAATAACAGCAACACTAAGTTTGATGTTCCCATTTTTCCTCTGCTCAATTTTCCTTGCCATATTCTTCCCTTCTGTACTGCCTTATATGGTCGTTTTCTCCATGCTTTCTCTCCAGTTCTTTGATCCTCCACCTCTTCCACTTCTAATTTCACTGATTCCCATTGTCTTGCCCCCAGCACCAGTTCACTTTCCATAAGCCTTCCACATCCTTCCAAACCTCATTATGTTGTTCTTTTCCAAGACTCCATTCCATTATCTGTGACCATCCTCTCAGCCAACTCATCTTGTCCCCTTACAACCACCTCTAGTAAAACCAACATTGCATTTCCCTACTCACCACCACTAGCAAAATTAATCTTGTGTCTCCCACTTACCTGCAGAGTGCTTTTCTATATGCCCAAGGGACAGCCTGGGGCTCAGGAGATGCCTCTTGGATAAGCATAGCTGCCAAGTTTTGTATAGCTCCATGCATGACAGCTGAGGCATATTATTTCAAAATCTGAAGTCTTTAATAATTAAAGACCAGAAACTTCATAAGGAAAATGTGTCCTACTTGAGTAGCAGTGGGAATAGGGCTTCTGAAAACTTAAGTCAGGTGAATGCTGAAGGGTATCTGGGGAATAGCTGTATTTGGAACTTCTTCTGTTTGGGTCCATAGTCTCTCACAGCATTAAGCGGCAATTGTAGCCCACCCCTTCACATCACTGGATGGTATGACATTCAGGGCCCACCAACACTTAAAGCCTCAATTTAAGTTAAATTAGGGTGCAGGTTTAAGGCAAAACAGCCATTCCTGAATCACTCTCTAGAGTAATCCCTTAATCTAGGCTATTGGGGGCAACTGCAACTGCATGCATGAGCACTTTGCAAGAGATTCACCACTTTCCAGGTGTATTTGGCAATTGGAACATTCCTGTGACAGGTACACCGGCCCTTTTTGCTGACTTTTACTCCCAGCTGGCTCCCTTTGCAGTAGAGCTGGTTGCAAGTCTGAATTTCTGCCCCAAAGAAAAAATCCAATATTTTGAAATTTGTTTCCATTCCAATTTAGGAGAGAACTGAAAACATCCATCTGCCAAAAATTCTGAAAGTCCCTTGCTGAAAGAAAAATACTTTTGTATCAACAAACTCAAAAGACACATTTCACTTGGTAGTCTGACATTCATCTATCCCATGACTTACTGTAGTAGGCTCATGAACTTGGAGTTAAAAGTGCCCTGTGCAACCATTCCTTTCTATGGGTTGGATTCTCATAGATCTTCCAATCCATGGTGCAGTTTCAACCACAGGCAAATCATGGTGCATCCTGGAAGATGTAGGCCAGCAAGGGAACTTCACCATGGAGAAAAAACAGGGGCATACAGACTTGTTACACAGCACTGCAGCAACTCTGACAGAGATTAATCAACGAATTTGAAAATGTAATGTTTCAGTAAAATATTTCATTATATTTTTTCCCTTATGAGAACTAAAGCATCTAGGGGAGGAGAAAACAGAGAAAAGGTGTGTTTGCAGAAGCTACTTTAATTTTTCAAAAACTATTTTAATGAAAAATTTCTAGGAAGTTCCAGTACCTGGGGCATAGCCAGTCAGTAGTGGGTACTACTGAACTAGTAAAGCCTGCAAGAACTGTTGCGAGACAACATGAAATAGGTCTGTTTTATAGGAAGGTTCTACCTGGGGACAAAAAAATCCTTTTCCTTATCTGGAGTAATTGTTCGGCTAGAACAGTGATTCCCAACCTTTTTTTGCTGCAACCCTAAATTGGCTACCAACAGGACCTCCTGACCCAGTGCTGCAGGGGCTGCTGGGAGTGGAGTGCAGTGGCATCCCAGAGGCAGGGGAGCCACCATTGCCCCTTTTGTGCGTGGTGGCCCTGTCCCACCCACTGCTCCCAGGCTGTGCGTGTGACTGTGCATGCGCGTGTGGGCCCTTCATTACCCTACTGTGGACCCCCCACAACCTTGATTTGCGTCATGCACCGAGGCTGGGAACTAGTGATCTAGAAGTAAGTTTTCATTCTTTCCTGCATATTAAAAAAAATTAAAAAATAACACTGCATGGAGAATGTTAAGTCTCCTTTCATATATGGGGCATGGACTGCACAAAGAATGTGTTAATGTCCTTTCACATATGCAATTTGAGGAAAGTAAAACTTGCCATTCAAAACAAGCCAGGACTTTAAACTGCCAATGATGCTATAAAAGGCCCTTTTTGTGGCTAGAAGCCACCAGGAAATGTGCCAGATGTCAAGCAAGGACAACTAATAGAGTTGAGGTTTGCCATCTAGAGTGGAGTTTTTCAGCACCTTAACTGAAGGTGCCAAGAAATGATTCAAGACAGACTGATCTATCAAACATTTGTAGGAGTTCAATGGACAAGAGAAGAAGGTAGAGACCATGGCTGGAGGCCTCACGACCCAAGATTCTGCAGGACAAGTTAGAACTGGTATCTTTAAAACTTGCCTGTGTGGAGGAGTTAGAGTAGATGAATAATAAATGAGAACCTCCTTCAGTTCTTAATATTAATCCATTTAATAAGAGCCTGTAAATGAAAACTGGAGTGTAGCCGTGGTGACAGATTACCCTTACATTAGCCTTTAAAAAACACCTACTACATTCCATGGCAGATATAGTCCTTTAATAAAGGTAGCAGTAAAGGAGGAACGTGATAAAAACTCCAGGTGAAAAGGCTGGTGTTGGCAGTAGTTACCCAGTGCTGAGTCTTGGGAAACCTGGAATTGACTCAAAACAGTTTCGCCTTTACCTTTAACACCAGAAAGTAAACTGCAAGTGATATAGCAGCTTAGTACTTTGTGGGGCAAGGAAAAGTTCTCTTTCCCACCTGCAAATGGCAGTTTCATCCCCATTTCTAATAGGTGTCTTACCTTTAACAAATGAGTGCACCATGTACGCTATTACATTGTATTAACGGTGCCATGACCTGAAGCCTTTTTTTCCCTAATATACTTTTGGCAATGTATGCATCAAGGGGCCCACATGTGGATAGTTCCCCGAATGCGAATACAACATAAGAGTGTGTAGATTCTTTTTCTGTTTCTCCATTATTATTTAAGGAAGAACTCTCAATGAGATCTCAATGCTGCTTGCAGCCCCTGGTGGCTAAAACACAGAATGCCCCTCATGAAAACCACAGGTGGAAAGGAACATATACATCACTTGTCATTATTATTTATATCCCTATCCAGAAAGGCTCCTGTTTCAACTGGACATTGAAAAGTGCTCAAAAAATAAAAAGAAAGTTCTATTTTCACTTAAAATGAAAAGATTATGTGAGCTCCCTTCTATTCCTGTTTTTTGTAAGGTGTACTTACTATTTAGTCCCCAGGAAAATTGATCACTAGTAAAACCTTCATTTTTAGTATATTAAGCTAATACTCCTCTAAGCAGACAAACACCTTTAAAATGAATTTCTAGGGTTTTCATAGCACTTTATTCACTGAAGCTGCAGAGCAGCAGTAAGAGAAAAGAAGAACAGCTGCTGTGGGAAAAGGAAGGATTGAGAGAGGGGCAGATGCTGGGTAGCTGCAGAAGCAATTAAATATATAAATAAAACAAAATAACAATAATAAAAAAGATAGAGAAGTGTTTCACTTCTGAGTAATGAGGTATCAAAGGTGATTGGTAGTTTATAGTTGTGAAACCAGAACCCCAACCAGGTAGTCATATTGCAGTTTTGGATATACCATAATCAGACCCCTAACAGAAGGAATACACTCCAAATGATCAACTTTTCAAGTGTTACCCTGAGAAGACTCACTTTGGGAATGCATTCAGTCACACACTCCAGCCCTGCTCCTACTGAGTTTCAGGAACTTCCTGGACAAAGGCACCCTTTGGGCCATAGAAGCACAGGTCACAGCAACGATGCCATGCACTTCAGTTGTCCAAACCCATTAGTCCCTTCCATAAGAAAGAGTGGAACTCAGGGGTGGCAACTGTCAATCCTCCTGGATCATGGTGTATACATGAAGACCACTCAGACCTTCAATGCATATGCCCAGGCAGGAATTTTCGGAGGAGAGGAGGCTGTCTGGACCTTCCATCCTCCCTTTAGGCCACTGAGACAGAATCCAACGACCAGACTGAATCCAGATGTTTGGTGCCTCCATGGCTGTAGTTGTATAAGTGTCTGGGAATCAAACCCAGATCTCCTGTGTGGTAGACAAAGATTCTACCACTGAACTACAGGGGATACAACTCAGGGGGGAAAAAAGAAAAAGCAGAGGTTTAGCTTGAGTATAAGGAGAAAACAGAGCCTGTTAGTAGTGAGTAAATATTTCTTCTCTTAAGTGGCATTTGAAGATTCCCTGCTTACTCCACACCCACAATGCCCAGAGAGAGAGAGAACTTCTTTCTCATAACATGCAATACATACAGATGCTAAGTTGAGGTAAGTGCACGAGAACATAGCATGTGCACGAGAACATTATACCAGGTGAGACACCCTGCATATTTCTAAAATGAATCACTGAATACATGTTATAAATGCTGCCATAGGTCCTAGAAAAGTAAGCCTAAAGAAGATTAGTTTCTTTCACCCTAATGTGTGCATGTTACACAATGCACATTTTAACCTCCTTGGACAAAGAATAGATATAGTTCTCTTCCTCCAGTAATTTTCTAAAGTCTAACCAAGAAGCACTTTCTTTGTGAAGAAAAGGGAAGTTTAACACAAAAAAATCCAATGCTTGGAGAAGTGAGGTCACAGGGAAGCAGGGCATTTATATACATCAGTGGACAGGTTTAAGGATCTGGTCTTACAATGAGGTATACGCAACCTTTCTGGACATGCAGTCTCAGTACAGTAAATGGAAGCACCTTTCTGAATATACTATTCCCAGAATTAAGGCCTTAATCCCTTTATACACTCAGTCCTTCTGTCAAATATAATTCCTACATGGCTACTGATTTTCAAGAAATTAACTAGTTTCTGTAACTCAGCTTACAGCACAGATATCAACCAATAAGAAGCTCTTTCTGAGGACACTATCTAGAGTGTACAGTTCTCTCTACTTCTTTAACAACTCCCTCAGCCATCATCCTTTGTATAGACAGTACAGTGAAACATTTTAAAGAAACATCTTTAGTTTAAAAAAAAAAAAAAAAGCTTTTCAAAATTTCATAGCTGACTTTTGTCAGAATTTGTTTTTATATGTTGCTATGTATGGTACATATTCATCCTTCAAAAAGAAGAAAAACAGGTTAGTCTGACTTTCAGGCTCTCAGGGGCCTAGGATAATGCTTCAAATGCAGGCATGAAAAATATTTTAAAAATTATTCCTCTGAAGCTTGTCCTTGTACCAAGCCTATTTTTACATAAGATAAAAACTAGAATTTGACCAAATTTGACCTGACATATGCCCCAAGATATTTCCCCTGCTCTCTTTTCCTCTTTTTGGCAAGTTACATGAATGCTGGTTCAACCAAAAAATTCCTTAGATGGATTACATATTGCTGTAGACTTCCAGGCAGTACTGACAAGTCAGCTCATTTTCTTTAAGTACAAGTAGATGGAGATAGTAAATTTAAAAACAGGTCTTCCATTTTTATACAAGTCCATACTTTTGGCCTCTTTGGTTATTATAAGTTAGTTAGGAATAAGAAGCAATTGACACATTCTATTATATAAGTTCACAATTACTATGGGTAACAAATATTTAATAGTTACTGCTAACAGATATAATCCAAACCCCATCAGTTAATCAGCAAATTTAACAGCTGCATCAGAGTGCTACTATTCACTATGAGTATAAAACCACTCCATGGAAACCAGAACAGTGAAGGAAGGGTTGCTGACTCCAAGTATAAAAATCCATAGGAATACTTTTCCCATTCAATACCACAAACACAAAAACCATAAGTATTTCACTTACAAGTCCCTCAGCTCTACTTCCAGAGGTAACTTTGTAGTTCTCCACAGAAGACCACCACACAGTGGTATAAAATATAAAAAGGACTATTGGCTCAAGCTGTAAATATTAGTTTTCCCCATACACTAAAAATGTATTTTCCACTGTGGGTGGGCATGAGGTGAAGGGCAATAGGCATTCATTTCCCATTGCTGAAATAGACTTTATAGGAAAAAACATGAATATACACAATAATCCATATTTACATAGTATATGGTATTTTTACCAAAGAAAAAAATTGATATAAAGCTAAATACACACTCTGAAAATGCAATGACATCACAAATCCTTCTGCTTTACTCCCACAGTTGGCATTTCATTAGAATTCATTTCAGTGTGATCTACTATAACTATATGAGTTAGTGTACTATATACTAACTTTAAAACGTCACAATCTTTGAACATAAGTGGATAAACCAAATAAGTTACTTGGAAACAAACAGCTGAAATTTCCTGATAAATTTTGTTACATTAGGTGCTGATATAATGGAAAGGTGCAAACAAGATTCTGGTTTCAGCTTGCCCTCCTGTTAAGTCTGTGGTAAAAATTAGTTTCAGTTTGGAAGAACAGACAGCTATAAGAGTTCTGAGAAAATATTAACTGTAAAAATAATTTTATTAAGAAGCAGCCCAGTGCTTCACTATTAAGTTCCCCATGGATTTTCTCTCAGGTTCAACCACTCGTTTACAAATGTAGTTTCACCATAGGTTTCAAAGGCAATGAAAATCACTATGCATCTGTCCACCCAACTCGTCGCCGCCTCCTGTTGAAAGCCTTTAAATTCCATTTGGTTGATTCTAGCATAAAAGGTCCATTGTAGACAAACAACACGGTCATTTTTTCATTGTAAGTGAGATTCTGCAGCAGCTGTGAAAAGTGAAGCAAAAAGACTATGAGCAACACCTTTTACCCTTCACCTTTGTATTAAGAAAAACAGACCAGTGTTTCCGTTAAAGAACTTGGTTCTCCCACTCTCTGCCACTTGCCCTATATGTATGTCTCCACCACATTTAGCAATACCTTACCTGCCAATGCTCAAGAAATATGTTGTAAAACAAGCTACCAGCAACAAACACCATAATAATTCATACATTTTAATTCTGCTCAAAATAAACTGACTTGAGACCCAGGTGAGCTTTCTTCTGAAGTAGTAAAGCACTACTACTTGGCAGCTGTCACTTCTATTTCTACAGAGCCT